ATGATGCAGTTACTAAACTTGGTTTTATTCAAAATAAATTAGATAATTGTGTATATGTCTTGAAAAGTGGGAGCAAGTTTACTATATTATCCTTATATGTGGATGATATATTGCTCGCTGGAAATGACATAGAAATGTTGAATAAAACCAAGGCAGATCTCAGCGAAAAGTTTGAGATGAAAGACATGGGAGATGCATCATATATTCTTGGAATTCAAATAATTCGAGATAGAAAGTCTAGAATGCTAAGTTTAAACCAAGAAAAATATTTAAGATCAGTTCTTAAAAGGTTTGGAATGGAGAATTCCAATCCGGCACCAACTCCGTTGGTTATGGGAAAGAGATTATGTAAAGAGCAAAGCCCTGGAGAGGGGCAAAAGCCATTAGATGTTCCTTATGCTCAAGCAATTGGAAGCTTGATGTATGCAATGTTGTGCACCAGACCTGATATAGCTTATGCTGTGAGTCTAGTCAGTAGATATCAAAGTAATCCAGGACCAGCACATTGGGAAGCTGTTAAAAGGATTATGAAGTATATCAGAGGTACATTGACTCATAGATTAGTTTATCAAGCTGATTCGCTTGAACTCCTCGGTTATTCCGATGCTGATTTCGGAGGTGATAAAGATGATGGAAAGTCCACTTCGGGACACTTATTTATCTTTGGAGGAGGAGCTGTTTCTTGGAGTAGCAAGAAACAAGGGTGTGTTGCTAGATATACGCAAGAAGCTGAATATATAGCTTGCAGTATGGCAACTACACATGCTGTCTGGATAAGACGGTTTTTGATTGATCTTGATCTCAATTTGTTAGAAGGACCTATTGATATTTATTGTGATAATCAAGCAGCAATTAGCTTAATCAATAGTGGCGCGAATAGCTCCAAAGGAAAACATATTGAGATCCAGTATCACTATATTCGAGATATTGTAGAAAAGGGAGAAGTCAAAGTGACTTATATCCCTACTACAGATATGATTGCTGATCCTTTGACAAAAGGAATACCAGCGAAATCTTTTATCAAACATGTAAGTTTGATGGGACTTAGGAATAAATAAGTCCAAGTAAAATTTTATGAATAATCAAATAAGAGTTACTCTCTACGGATAGTGGGAGTAATGGTAAGCAGAAATATCTGATCTCACGGATAGTGAGAGGCATATCACTTGGTTGATTTGGTCAAGTGGGAGATGTTAGCTTGACTCAGTCATGGATGACCAAATCAACAACAGTTTCTCAGTAGAGAGAATCGTGGAGAACGTGAATTGGGGTTTGTTGAGAGATTTTCTCTCAGAGGCAGTTTGAGGGGGGTGGAGATGATGGGATTTCGGCCTATAAATAGAGGAGTAATCTCCTTGAGAAAACACAACGAAAAAGAAAAATCAAGCTCTTTACCCATTACCGGAGCCCCCCTCAAAGATATCATCTTTCTTCTTCTCTGGTTTTCACTCACTGGTAAGGATAACATGTTTGTCAGCTAAAACTTCTAACTTTTTCTCAAAGGAAATAAGAAATGTATTAAGCTTTGGCATCAATTGACAATGTTGACACTGATATAAAACATAGGACGGTTAAAGAAAAATATTTGTTTCATTGCTGATCATTACAAGCATGTGGGTACCTTGTTTCCTTAAATTTTCAAACGACAACTTATTTCCTTAATTTTATGAGCTCTTTTTAAGGAGTGTTTGGTTCAATTTCTACAAATTATAGGAAATGTTTTCCATCCAAAATATGATTTCCTTGTATTTCTTTAAAAATTATAGGAAAAGTTTTGAGAAGTCAAAAAGTACCAATTTTTTTTATTTTTTTTACTTTACTTGTTCGGTTAAAAACAAGAAAACGAGTCGTAATTTTATAGAAAATAGCAAGATTTCCTATAATTTGTAGAAATTCAACCAAACACCCCCTAAATTTATAGAAAAATGTCAATGTGGTGTCAGATTTCTGGGTAATTTCCGCTAATTTTGAGAGGAAATTGATTTCTGTAAATTTTAAAATTTTTTGTACTTTACAGAAAACATGTCTGTAATTTTTTTAACCATGCACAGTTTACGGAAATCTACAAAAAAAAATTTAATTACAGAATTACCATTGTCAAACATTTTAAGAAATTTTTTCTATAAAAGTGTGCAACCAAACACCCCTTTATTAGAAAAAAAAATGTCATTGTCTTGGGGGACCCAAGTAGGAATAATATTTGCCTAATTGGCATCCAAGGGCTGTTGGCTTGATGCTATCCAATAACCAATTGTGTATGTGAAGTAAATTTTCTTTGCTTGATACTTATTCAAAGTCATTTCCAAAGCGAGATTTGTTTCCTTTTCAAGAGAATTGGCCTATAGAACCTTTGCAAGTGGACGAATCTGTGCATCTTGATCCTACCTAACTACATATAGATCCATACTTATCCTCCAAAAGTTCTAGGTTCCCATAGAAAAGCTAATTCATTCTAATAGTACATGTAAATTGAGTAAATCACAATCAATGCTTTAATCAGATAATAGTTGCTACATTAATCGACCATAAACACGTAACATCGTTACTCGCCTCCCTTTAGTTATTTCAACATGAACTACTGCAACGATACTATAAATCTCAAACCAATTTCATGGTACAAGACTCGTAACATTTTCAAGAAAACAAAGGCAAGTCGAGCCTCTTATGGAAGCTAATGTGTCTTAATTAGAGGCTGAGAGCCAAATTAACAAACGAAAAACTTAAGTTATTGGGTATTGACTGTAATTTTCTATTTAAGCTGACCAATTAATCTTTTTCTTATTCATTTGACGTGGGATTATATTCCTTAATGAAATCTAGAATTATATTCACACATGAAATTTGGAACACGGTTACTCATTCAAAGGCTCAATGCGCGATTTAAAGATACTACTTTCTAAGTTCTTACATAAAGATTCTAAAGTATTAAAGTGCATCCATCATACTTACAAGACACCTCATTACAAGGGTCAGCATCCATTATTTTTAAAATGGCAGTCTTAGTGGATGG